TACCCTTGAACCTAAAGGAAACAGAAAAGACAGAGCAGAAAATAAGAGGAGATGCAAAGAAGAAACAGACACCAGAAGTCTCAGAAAAAAACAAACTATCTGAATAAACAGAAAATAAATTAAGAGAGGAAGGAAAAACGCAAGCAAATTTTACACATATTTCAGCTCATTATCTTTCAATCCAATATCTTCTCAGCTGAATGGCCATGAAAAATAAGATTATTCTTTTAAATTCTCTCACTGTCTTTCCAGATAGATGTCAAATAATTCCTCCAGTTCACATATGGCTCAAGGCAAGGCAGAAGAGGGGAGGAAAACCCTAAATAAAATTACAATTAACAATTTAGCAACTACTAAATATAGGGAATGGAAGCAGAAAAATATTCCAGACTTATCAATTTTGCCCTGTATGAATCAGCAAACTGCAGTCATGCAGTCTGCACAAATGTCCATGTCACACATTTCAGTCAAGCAGAATTCAGAGGAACAGCAACGTGGAACTATTTAAAGAACTCACAAACCATACACGATGCAGTCACCATTAAAGGAGATCTAACCATTTCAGGTTTTGAAGAATCAGAGTAATTACAATAAAAACACAGTAAGATTAGCTAGAGTATGGAGATTACACAGAAACACACACTCTGCACTTTTGGAATGCTAGCCAAATGCTTGTGTAACAATACAATATAAAATGAGAAGTCATGAACTACTTTGTCCTGTAGAAAAAAAAGCCCCACAGAATCTACAGATAGAAGAATTCCTGGAAGAATGTTTTAACATATTTGAATTGCACCAACCATCTCCATCAGGCCCTGTGCAGAACAATGTTGCACAGCCAGGGAATTTGGTGTTTTTCAATGTCAAATGATAGCAGTCATAATCATTTCTAAGAGATAAAAAAATAAATAGTTTACCACTTTGCAGTAGTTATACACCAAACATTTCTTTCTCCTAGTGGGATCTCTTTCCAAATGCCACTGGCTCTCTATTTTCAGGCAAACTTAATAAATTTGACCATAAAAATCTGTATTTTTCTACAGAATCACACCACGAGGTCAAGGCAGCAGATCTGGCACAGGCAGTGGGCAGCAGAGGCAAGCTGGACTGCCTGCAGAACAGAAAACAACCCAGGAAGACTGAAGGAGTGACAAGTGACCAGCCAATGGTACTTCTGTCTTTCACTAAATATCTGAGTTGATTAATAATAAAACATCTGTTGAACCCAGTGCCCAAATTAATTATATTTGATAGGAAAATGTAACATGAACAGAAGAAAGAAAAATTGCTGTGTGGCCATTCACCATACAATAAAAAGTTTTTACTATTATGGATAAACAGCAGCACGGACTGAGAGAGTTTGCAAACTATACACTATTTTAGCCAGTCCCTGATCCTGGTTTTTATGTTCTCTTCTTTGTAGCACAGCTGGCAATATAGAATTCTGTTTTACAGTTGGGTTTTCCTAAATAACTATATTTTATTTCATTAGAAGTGCCCCTCTACCTCTTGAGCTTTCATTTGAAGCTTAAAAACTGAAGTTAGAATTCTATGCAAAAAAAGGAGATCCATTCAGTTGCTCCATAAATCTGTCCTATGACTAAATTTAAAAAAAAGACACTTGAATTATTTGTCTTGCTATTAGAAGCAGGAATTATCCAAACAAAGGTGCGGAGAGAAAAATTCAACCATCTTGCCATTTTATCTACAGTGAGTTATACAAGCATAAACTCTAACTACATTCTTACTCAAACAAAACCTGGAGAAAACAGCATTAAATAAGTCAAGAATTACTTCTCACACTTGCTCTGTTTGGAAATGAAAATAACTGAGTGAAGTAGCAGTCAAACTATACTACCTGTGACTGTCTCTGCTCAGATCAGTTCTGCCTGAAAGGGATTTCTTTAGTGATTATTACATGGCACAGATGTCCTTCAAGAAGACTCAGCTGGGAAGCCTCCACCTTCACTTCTTTATACTCATTCATATCTTAAGACAAGGAAACAAGCATCAAGAAAAATAAAGGAATCAAAATTTCTTTTCCAGCCCAGACAAGTCTTTGAGGGAACACATGATCCAGGTCTTTAAAGATTCTCAGCTCATATTAAGCTGCTTGGTAAAGAGCAAACAGGTCTGCCTCTCGTCATACAGAAAACAGGGAGTATCACATGAAGTTCTCAGGTAACAGCTCAGAGGAATGACTTACTGACACCCCACATGAAGTGCAGCTCTTAGTGACAGAAAACATGGCAGCTGCAAAAACCATACAAGGGCCCTAAAGTTTTTACATGTTAGGTATGTCCATGAAACAAAAATCCACACTACACATCATCCCCTCTGAGACTGGAGAGCTGTCCAAGGGGTAACCCTATATTCTAGACAAGGGTGTCAAATGGGCACCTGCTGAGCTGTGGCAGAGCAGCAGAACTCAGAACAATGATCCTGTCACACCCCAGGGTCTCAGAGCCTTAGGCTGCAGCAGAGAATAACAGATCAGACCAGTGGGGCTGCTCCTGGGAAGAATGGTCTTTATGTTGCCCAAAAAGAACACCTCAAACAAAAACCAACCCACAAGCAAACAAACATCATAAACAGAAAGAAACTAAGACTAGTGCTCCAGCCCATCACTACTCAAAAATAGAGGTGAAACAGTAACTGTGACACTGTCCATAAAATATTTAGCTCTCTAGTGATGCCTGAGAAGATAATTTCCTTCCCCACCATTCACTGAGTGCTTTTTTTAAAAGCATTCAAAGAAACCAAGGTGAACTAAAGAAAGATCTTTTCCATTCTTATTGTAATTAAGGCAGCATTAACCATTTTATTCAAATGACAAGAGGCTTCCAATGACATAACTGACTACTAATACAACACCACAGGAAGTAACATGCAATTTCAGGGGGAAAAGGATGCAATATTTAACTAGTTCAAATATGTCTTCTGATATTAAAGGGGAAAAAAGCAAAAGAACAACCCCACAACCCTTTATTATCATCTCAAAACTGCAGACAGTTCAAGCCACAGTCAGTCACACAGCTCTCTACTCCAGAAAACAATTATGAAGAGCACAGCAAACACTGTCCAGTGCTAGAGAGAATACTGGATGCACAGGCAGAGAAGAGTGGCTCCTATAATGACTCTCACAATCTGCTAATCCAGAATGCACAGCAACACAAATTGCTGGAAACATGGACTTTTGAAAGCTATCCAAGAAACCCTGCAGCCTTCCTCTAGCTCAACAGCACAAGCAGGAATCCCAGCAAATCACAACTAGCATGGCTGCATAGAAGCTAAAATAACTTTATCCTAGAACATCAAATCTTTGCAGTAATTATCACCACAACTAATTATTAATAATAAAAAAATAGTGCACAAAAAAGCCCACCAACTGCATAAATCACAAAATGTACTGATCATTTTTACATGGAGTTTCAATGACCTTTCCTTCCTAGAGGACATTCAGTTGTTTGTTGGGGTTCTTTTACACAATATAGAAACTTCTTTTACGTTATTTCCTTCTGCATATTATTGATTTCTTCAGACTGACACTGTAATTATGGTGAAGCTCCCTTCTCAAAACACACTGTAGCAACACTTCTAGGCCCCTTGAAATTATGCAGACTCACTTACTTGAGGGTACAGCATCAAAGAGCTTACTATATTCCCAAAATATCACATCCCTCATATTGGCAGCCTTGTTTTTAAAAGAGTATAGACCATTCTGAAAGAAAAGGAATCACAGGAAGCAGAACATGGTAGAGCAGATCAACTGACTGCACAAGGTTTTTCTTACCATGAGTTATGTACTTGGGGGGTGAGGGGGACGGCAAAAACAGCTACTGAAAACCTTGTTAAACTTGTAAACCTATTAAACAATTGTGTTCATGCACAACAGATCCCACAAAGCCAGTGCTCTGGGATCAGAACTGAACGTCCCTGGTAACACACTCAGCTAAACCAGCATAATTTTGTGTGGAATATTCAAGTCAGGCTTCCAAGCACCAAGAAAACAAAACAAAATAAAGAAAAACAACCCCACCAACAAATAATAAGAAAAAAAAAACACCAATCATAAATAAAACTGTGAGTTTTTATCTTTCTCTCAAAGCATAAAACCAAGGTTATCTGGGACCTGACATGTCTATGGGTCACTGAAAAAAAATTCTGAGAAAAATATACACATTCCTCAGCACCACTGCACTTTGGACACATACACATTAACTTTCAGCCACAGCAAGAGACAAGAAATATTTTGCAAGTCTCTGACAGAACTGCATTCTCTGTAAGACAGGGATTTAAGCACCTCACAAACAAAGAGCCAACGATTCCAACCCCCATACGTTACAGAAAAACAAATGTGTGTCTTTTCTTCCTGAGAGAAGACTGCTCTGAATCTTCCAGACTTTATCTCACAGTGAAAAACATTCACTGCTGAAACCAGACTGAGGCAGTCTGGATTAAACAGATGGCACTCTATTTAGAACAGTTTCACTGTTAATAACATGATAATGGCATTCCTCCTGGAAATCTTCTCATGCACTTCCAATATCCCCATTAAGAAACCCTGAAATCCAGAAGTCGATTTCCATCATAATATATTGGAAAAAGGCACTACAGTCTACCCTGAAATTTCACTGGCATCATGCTGTAATGTTTACTCTCATGTTAATAGGAGTATCAAAAATTAATAGAACAGTTTGTATTCTGCTAAAAAGAAACAATATTGTATTGCATACAACTGAGAAGTAATTAAAGTCTTCATAAGTCACTGACTGTGTAGTTAACTTTTACCAGTTTCTTTCCAGATGAAGCAGACTATGTGCACAAGTTTGGCAAACACAAAAATAATTGTAATTAAGCAGATACTAAGGCAATTGACACTTCACAGTCCCACAGCCACACATGCAAAGCGCCGAGCTCCTGACAGCAGCACTCAGTGAAACCAAGGCACCGCCTCGCTCAGGAGGCAGTTGTCAAAAGAATTCCTCACTTTCCCTTACCTTTCAATGCACTACCGGGATTTCGGGACGCCTCCCCGCTTCTCCTACGGAAACAAACACCAGTGTTCTTTTAGGACAAACCCACTGAAAGCCGAAACTCGGCTCCTGGCGCCGAGCGGGCTCGCTGCGAGCTCCGATTTCTCCCGCAGCTTCTCCCCGC